AATCATGCCATTCACCAAAGCAGTAAATTAAGATTTGGCGTTTGAAGTTGACGTTTGGCGTATAAATTTCATGCTTTAACGACTACAAACCCTCGTAGCAGTTCCAGCATGAAATTTATACGCCAAAGGTCAACTTCAAACGCCAAATCTTAATTTATTGCTTTGGTGAATGACACGACTAGTGGTTAATTTGCTTTCTTAAATCATTGCTAAAGAGCACAAGTTTAATAAGTTTAACATATTTCAAAACTGGTGTAAAAGCTATAATAATAGAGTTGTAAAATCAAAAACTTTGCTAGCGGTTTGACGTTTGCCGTAAACGTCAATCTTAAGGTCTCTAATGAATTGTCTCTCACAGATTGGGATTTAATATTCCTAAAAGGGGATAGGGATATTGATAAAACATTTTGCTTTATTTATAAAAGAATTAATGCGATACTGAATAAACACGCACCAATCAAACTGATATCGCGTCGTCAAGCTAAACGGCTCTCGAAACCTTGGATTACTAAAGGAATAAGAACAGCTATTAAATACAAAAATCAACTATATGCTGACGGAAAACAGTCTGAGTATAAAATATACAGAAATCGAATACAAAGATTAATATGATTAAGTAAAGCTAACTATTATTGTGAATATTTTAACAAACATTTGACGAATCTGAAAAAAACATGGGAAGGAATTAATACTATTATGAATCGTAAAACTCAGAAATCATCCTGCATTCAAGCTATCAAAGACCATAATAATTGTAATAGACTTATAAGAAACGTAACCCATATCCCAAATATATTAAATAATCATTTTGCATCAGTTGGACATAAATTGGCTAACCAGTTACTAGACCCGCGAAAGCACTATTCCAACTTTCTTATAAAATCTAAATCTCCGCGAGATTCGTTTTGTTTTAATCTAATTACTCCTGATGAAGTGAAACTTGAGATTTTAGCACTTCCAATCAACAAAGCACATGGTTTATATTCTTATCCCTCTCAGATACTGAAATGTGCCAGCAATATTATTAGTTACGTATTGTGTAGATTATTTCATTTTATATCAATTGAGTTAGGAGTATATCCATCCAAATTAAAAATGTCAAAAATCATTCCAATACTTAAAAATGATGACAGGACTGATGCTAATAATTACCGGCCGATATCGCTATTATCTAATTTTAATAGACTTTTTGAAAAGATGATGTATAAAAGGATGCAGAGCTTTATTCAAAAACATGCTATCCTTTCTTCTTGTCAGTATGGTTTTCGAGAATTGCATTCAACTGAACATGCAATTCTTGATATTGTTAATGCCATTCAGTCAAATATGGCTAAGAAATTATTTTCGTGCGGAGTATTTATTGATTTAAAAAAGCTTTTGATACCGTTGATCATGAAATTCTTTTACAAAAATTATGTTATTATGGATTTAGAGGAATAACCAATGATTGGTTTAGTTCATATTTAAATGGTAGAATGCAAACTACACAAATTGGTAATCACATATCCAAAAAGGCTACAATAACGTGTGGCATGCCTCAAGGATCGGTTTTGGGTCCATTACTTTTCTTGCTTTATATTAATGATATTGAAAATTGCTCTAAGAAATTTAAATTTTACCTATTTGCTGATGATACAAATCTACTCTATACCGAAAAAGACCTTAAATCTCTTGAAAAAATTGTTAATGAAGAACTTTGCCATTTATATGACTGGCTTAGTTCAAATAAACTTAGTCTTAATTTTAAAAAGTCTAATTTTGTTATTTTTCATCCATATCAAAAGAAATTAGTATATCAGCCTATTATCAAAATGTATAATAATGAATTGAATGGATATACAGAGCTTAATTGTGAAGATTATATTAAATATCTAGGGGTTTTAATGCACAAGAATCTCTCATGGAAATATCATGTAGAACATGTTCTAAGTAAAATAAGTAAGACTGTAGGCATGAATTCAAAATTAAGGCACTTTGTACCTAAACATACTTTACATAATATTTATAAATTGCTAATAGGTCCATATTTCTCCTATTGTCTTGTTATCTGGGGTCAGACAAGCAAGTCAAATTGGAGTAATATCTTAGTTTTGCAAAAACATGTTCTTCGCTTCATCCATTTTTCAGATAAACGAGAACATGCAATACCTTTTTTTTGTTGCTACAAATATTTTACCAGTAAATATCTAGCCTACGGTGTAGACCCCAGCAGAAACACGTTTCGTGAGGGGTCTACGAATCAATGAAGAAAAGCTTGCCCGGCCTGTGTCATATCCGATTTATGTTTTGGGTAAATTAACTCAATTTATTCAAATATATGAAGTGTGCGTGAATGTAAATTTTCATTTCGCGCAATACAAATGTGTTCTTTGCTTCAAAGTCCCGTCGAGTAAAAGCGATATTAATTTCTTGGACGGCAAGGAGAACATACGTAAAGAGTTAGACGACCTTTCCTTCTCCATTTAACCTGCAAATAGCATTTGTAAAGCCTGTCTGGCATTGGTAAACAAAGAACGGTTATGTGAGCTAAACAATACAATAACGAACGTGCACGAAACAGCATTAAACGCTATTGGTATACCGCTTAAAGTAAAGCGAAATGTCATGGGGAAACTGGGATTCGAGCCAACTTGCGATAAAACTATTATGCCGGCCACATTTAGTGAGAAATCGACTTTATTTTTGACTCGAAGGCAAAGTCGATTTCACGCTAAATGTAGCTGGTATAAAAGTTTTATTGCAAGTTGGCTCGAATTGCAGTCCCCTCACCACATTTCACATTACTCTAAGTGGTATACCAACAGCCTTTAATGCTGTTTCCAGTGCATGTTCGTTATCGTATTGTCTATAGCTCACATAACCTTTCTTTGAAGCTTCTCCGTTTGTTTACCAACGCCAGATAGGCTTTATTAAAAATCGAAATTAATATTGCTTTTATTCGACGGGACTTTGAAGCAAAGAAACATTTGTATTGCGCGGAATGAAAATTTACATTCACACACACTTCATATATTTGAATAAATTTAGTTAATTTACCCAAAATGTAAATCGGATATGACGCAGTCCAGGCAACCTTTTCTTCGTTGATTCGTAGACCCCTCACGAAACGTGTTTCTGCTGGGGTCTACACCATAGGCTAGTAAATATCTTATTCCATGAAAATGTACTTACATTGATGCATGATGTTAAAAATAGAGGTTGCACCAGTCAATATTCTCAATCTTTTCCAGAAAACGTCAGATATTCATTTTTATAATACTCGTTCTTCAAAGTCAAATAATTTTTACATTAAACAATCGAAACCAGAAATTCAACGAGTCTTTTTCTCATGTTGGAGTAAAATGGTGGAATGAGGTACCATCTTGCATAAGAGAATTGCCAAAAAGAGCATTTAAGAAAAGGATACGTAGTATCCTTTTGGACATTTTACAGAATGAAAACACTTATCCGGACATAGAGTCGCTCAGCTGTAAAATTAAGAAAATATCACGCAATGAAGCCTCAAATTGAAGCATTAACTCCAACTTTTTTCCCTGTTCTTGATATGCAGTATGTTATTATTATTAATTAAGTTTATTAATATGTAATTTCATTGAAAATTATTTCATATTATGTATATATAATTTACTATATAATTAATGGCTTTGTAAATTAATATTTATTTACTTTTTGTGTGTCACTATAGACAAGTCCGCCTCGACTAGCTTTGTAGCTATTAGCGGCTTGTCTTATTAATGTATGTACGTATATTATATTATATTATATGAATTAATTGAATTGAAAAATTGAATTGAATTGCTCTACTGTCAAACAGCGAATAAAAACCTGATTGTGGTTTGTTGTTAGTCTCCCAGTTTTAGAGTGTGCGTTCTGAAAAAAGTTACATGCAGGGTTCTGGCAAATTTGCCAACATGCATGCCCAGCATGATGTTTTGACTAGTATCCCAAAGGTCGCGGGTATGGCGAAGCAAACTTTTCAGTTTGCCCAGTGTGCATGCATACTCAGAGTAACATCACCAACATCAATAATTTTATATTTGAGGGTGTTGCATTAGCAAGTAGAATAGTATTATGATACCCAGTATGAAACTTACATCTTTTTTTTTACTTTTAAACTTTCTATGCTAAGCACACAGAATGTGGTGCTACAGAAACACAGCCTAGTTCATCGATGGAGAGTGGTGATCAATGCTCAATAGTGGAGAGTGGTCAGCCTGACTACTCAGTCAAGATATTTGAGCAACCTTTGACTGTAGAAGTTGGTGAACCAGAAAGAGTGAGTAGAAGTTTACGCAATTTTTTCATGATTTAGTTTGTACCATATTACTCAATTTAATATAGCCATACAGCACAATATATAAATTCCTGTGTAAACTTATAGTTCATCATGCAATGTTTGCATGCGAGTTTAGTGAATTACCTGCGGTATAGCATGTGTTGTACATATTCGTATAATCATTCACTTATTTTTAAGGCTGATATTGAAGAAGTGTAAAAACTGTATTGGGTCCAGACAATGCCATCAAAATGTCACAATTGCACTGCCTTATCTGCAAAGCTGGAGAAAATGAAGGGGAGGATGCTGTTTTTTAAGTCTCAATTAAGTTATGGTAAATATAATCTGTCAATGTTGCTGAAAGAATGCATTGTTGTGATTGGAATACTCTGAATAAATACAGTATGTTTTCTACTCCTTTACTAGATAGTGATAATTCATCATTAAGTTATGATAACATTGGAGGTGTAAGCAATATCTCTGGTGATATTGAAAGTGATGATGAGGATCTTGATTGTGATGATGCAGAAATTTTTACATCAGAGCCATCCGCACTCTCTCAGGTTGACGAAGAACCATCAGTGGAAGAGTCCTCAACTGATACAGAATCGGAAGCTGGGGACAATGCAGTTGGGGAAAGGTGTGTGTGGGCTATTTTATTTAGGTTTGATAGCATTATTGTAGTAAAGATGTACAAAATTCCAAGTGTTTTGTTGAAACAAATTGTGTGATTTACTTTTAATTGGACAGTACTTCTCACGTTCATTATATTCATTTAATGTGCAATGACCTTCTCTAAATTTGATGCACACTCAATAGTCTAGCGGCTAAGGAAAGAGAATGTGTGTTTAATGATAAAAGCATGAAATTTTCCACGAATGTAGACCTATTGATACTTAATGATTTTAGATATAGAGGCATTGCTGGAAATGTCTGGGAAAGGAATAAATGGATTTAAAAGAAAATGACTAAAAATGCTGAGTCAGCAGTTTTTATTTTTTGTATAAGTGCTATTTTGTGAACAAGACTCGGGCATATGATGGACATATGGCTCTATTATCTGCGATAGACAAGTACATACAATGGGAAGTGATATTAGAAGAATAATTGGTAGTCAAAATTCATGAATAATTAAGGCCACAAACAATTTTAGGTCTCATGGGCACACTTGTTGTAAACAGCATTAAATATCAGAAAGTCATGTTAGAGGGACGTTTACGAAAGTTAACAATACCAATTGAGAATACTAATTCTGGTTTTAATTGCATGTTAATGAAGCGTGAGATTGCCCCCATGGACAGTGAATGCTAATGAAGTAAAATAAATTCATTTTACAAGTATGTTAATTTTCGCAATTGATCTTTATGGGCATTTAAGAGGTCTGATTCCACAACCGTTTTTCACTGGCGAAATGCGAAAAATTTCGCGCGAAATGAATCAGGTGCTTGCGCAGTAATTTCTCGAGAAAAAATTTTACTTCCCCAGTGAGTAGAAGTCAGTTCTACCCACTGCCAAAGCAAATATTTTTAAAGTGGCAAAAGTCAATAGAATCATCAATGTGGAACCATCCATTTTTCGCAGATACAATTTCGTGTGAAGAATTTCGCAGTCGTGGAATCAGACCTGTAAATGCCAAAAAAGATCAGCTGCTCATATGTTAACTAGTTCATAAATATTGGTGAAATATAACGTTTGTTCATGTCCTAATTTTACAGGACATTCAATTCATTGAATAATCAAGCTATTAACTATATTCGAAAATAATTCGTAAGATGCTCAACGTACAGTATGATTGCATATAGAATTTACATTTGCTTAGTTTCAATGAATTATGCACAGATTTTAGGTTCTATAAACCAGAAGTAGTAGCGATGTTACATGTCAACGAAAACGATGTGTTTTCATACCTCTTAGCTGAAGCAGTTCCCACCACAGGAGCACAACGCCGTACACTGCAAACTGGATCGGGAGCACTTACACAACCTTCTGCAGGCCTTCTTGCAGGAACAGTATATCAGTTCATATCATCTTTGCTGCGCTTGGGGAAGGGTCGTCCACACAGGTCTCCAAAGCTTGTCCTTCTTCCATCCCCACTCCGATGGACTTGGTAGTTGAGGTAATGCCATATGAACCTGACTCCACACATGACCGCCTTGATACGCTGCATGCAGGATGTGTTGCCTAAGAGCGGCAGACGTAGGAGGAATGCGATCAAGGCTTTGAGAACGTTTGCAGAACAGCTGCTGTCATGCATCATCGACGGAACTGAGCTGGCTGCCGCGGTCATACAATAATACCACGAATAGCTCTATGGTTTGTGTACACTTATTAGATAGCTTATCCGGTGTGGTCGCGATCTCCAAAAATGAATGTGTAACTTCTGGAAATGAATTCCAGGTATCCCATGCACTTTTCTTGCTTTTGCCGCCAAAGAATGAAACAGTATCACAGCCTGTAAGTGCATGAAATACAGGTAAAGCAAAGCTTCTCTCCGGACCAAGTGATCAGACAATATCATGTATGGGAAGATACCGAAACTGCTTTCCAGTTCCAAATGCAAGCCAAAGTTCCTTGTCGGGGATTCTCTGCATCTGGGCGACGGCTAGAATGAACACATCTGTATCTACTGATCGTATCAATACATGATGGTGCTGTAGGGCTGCATCATGGACATGCAGAAAAATCCGAGAATCTGCTTCTTCGTGATTGCATGGTTGTAGGCCATCCATAGTTGTTCTATCAGTGTTGCTCAGGACGTCGTTACCATGCATACTGTACACCTCTTTGCCTTATGCATGTATAGCTATGACCTCTTCTGCGAGGAGTCGGAACAGTTCAGTTTTGTTCTCGTTGACACGTAGAAAGCTCTTCCAGTTAGGAGGGACCTTTACAGAAAGCGCCACACGGTGCCGCGCCCCAGAACCTCTCCTGTCTCTTGTACAACTCTGTAAGCTGTCGTCTTTGTATGTGTCCCATATAATATCTATTCGTTGGGCTGATTGAAGTTGCGAGGTAACATACCGTATGAAAACAGTTGCGACATACTCTCTGAATGTAGATGCAGTTTTGGGATTCAGCATTTGCACAACAACAACGCCATCGATAATTTTCGCATCTACTTGTGGACACTCGACAACGTCAATATGGTCTGTGAGGCACTTGACCAGATCAGCTTTATTGCTTTGCCGAAGTTGTCCTTGTTGCAATAACGAAGGTGGACTGGGTTGGTTTTCTTGTTTGAAAAAGTTCTGGAGATCACCTTCTCGAGATTGGCACACGATATATAGCCTTGAAAACAGTGCAGAATCTTCTTTTAATGCTGTAAGTTGAGCCTTTTGTTTGGAAGGGACTTTGGTTGGTGGGCGGCTAAACATCGGAAGTTTATTCATCTTCATTGGGTCAGTGATTGGTTTCTTCTGGTCTACAAACCTCTCTTTTACAAACGTTGTATATTGATCGTAACCTGTTTCTTTAACGCTCTTCATGGAATCAACCACTTCTTTGGGCACGATGTCCTTTGTATCCAGCACAAGCAAGTCACTGCTGTCTTCTCGGAAGGGATTTGCTAGTTCTTAAACTGCGTCAACTAGATCTTTAACTTCCTTTGATGGTGATGATGCAGATCACTTCTTTTGAACTGATGGCATTTGGTCATGATGCTGCTTCTTAGTCTCCTTCTTCTTAAGCAAAGACTGGTCTTCATACTCGTTTACCATTCTTGCGAGCTCGGGGCCGCCAATCATCCAACGTCGTAAAGCGTGTGGGTTCTCTGTGAGCCCCACTGCACCTCCATCACCCTTTATAGATGCATTTGCCTGTTCATGTGCATGGTCAAGAGCAATGGAAGAAAATGCTCGAGCTGATATGTTGACTACAATGGCGCCAGACGTAAACTGTTGATAGACACTTGGATGTGTTAGTGACAGTGATTGCATGTCTCGAACGTGAACTGACAGCCAACGCGCATAGTTCACACGATCAAGTGCAAACATCCACGGCATGATGCGTGCAAGTGATTGCACATACTGATCAAAGTCTCATTCAAAGATCTCGTATCGTTCTTACTATCTCGAGCACTAATAACTCTATCTTCAACACCTGTGACCAGAAATAGAACTGTGGTTGATTTGATTTCATCTTGTTACACCATGCAGTGAAGTCTAAGGGCTGCTCAGACTCTTGAACCGATTCTTTCTACTCTTCGAAAGCCGTTTGTTGCAAGACAAACATGGCTGCTGCGGTAACCTCGTGCACATGCCTAGTTCGTGCCACATGACACTTTCAGAAATGACTCTGCCGTGCCAACACTTGCTATTCCGGCGTTAACTTGTTGTGCACAAGGAACGGTGCCACAAGATTGGAAACTAGCGAACGTTGTTCCCGTTTATAAGAAAGGTGACAAAGAATACACAGAGAATTACAGACCAATTTCTCTCCTGCCAATTATTTCGAAAGTTCTAGAACGGTACATTTTCATGAACATTCGACAACACTTTTCTGGGATAGTTTATGATCACCAGCACGGATTCCTCCAAGGAAAATCTTGTGTGACTAATTTGTTAGAAGCATTAGATTACATCGGCGCCTGTCTGGACAAGGGAGGGCAGGTAGATATGGTATACCTTGACATGTCAAAAGCGGTTGACCGAATCAACCATAAGCGATTGACGCAGAAATTAGCAAATTCGGGTATTGGCGGTAACCTACTAAAATGGTTTCAATCGTACTTGACTGACCGTCGTCAACGTGTTACTGTCCTTGGTGTAACATCGAAGTCTCTACCAGTTTGTTCAGGCGTTCCACAGGGGGTCAATACTCGGTCCTGCACTGTTTCTTCTTTACGTGAATGACCTACTCGAAGCACCCACGTCCAGTCGAGCTGCAATGTTTGCCGACGACACCAAGATATTCTCCGCAATTCAATCACAGAACGATGTTACCTCTCTACAAACTGATCTTGGAACCCTGGAACATTGGTCAACGGTATCTGGGCTATCATTCAACCAATCCAAGTGCAAACATCAAACGCTAACAGCTAGCACCAGTTGCTTCCTCGTACAAGTTGGACAACTCAATCATATCCATTACTGACAACGAAAGAGTCCTTGGCGTGTGGCTGTCATCAGATTTAACGTGGAAAAAACATGTGAACGAGCAGACAGCGAAAGCGAATAAGATTCTGGGATATGTTAGAAGGAACACTTTGTTTATTCAAAATACTGCAGCCAGACGAGCGTTATACCTGGCATTGGTTAGGTCGCACTTTGGCTACGCAACACAGGTTTGGTCACCACAGTCAGTGGAACTTATAAGTAAACTCGAAAGAACACAAAGACATGCTACTAAATACATCCTAAATCTATCGTTTAGCACAGCTGTTGACTATAAATCGAGGTTACGGTCTTTAAATCTTCTTCCAGTAAGCTATTGGCACGAATACTTGGACCTTATCTTGTTTTTCAAAATCACACATGGTCTAGTAACGCTAAATCCCCAAGTGTCGCCAGCTATCTTCGCCACTCGTAGAACAACCCGATCAACCTCATCAAACAAACTGAAATATGTCATCCCTAAATGCAGAACTACCACCTACCAAAAATCTTTCCTCGTAAGAGCGTGCCGAGTTTGGAACTATCTTGTAGATGAACTGAACTTTACTAAGGATACTAGCATTTCTGTATTTAAATCAGATCTGCTCAAGTATTACTTTACATCACTGAACATTAATTATGATCCTGAAAACTCTCGATCATTTAAGAGTATATGTCTGAAATGTAATTGTATTCGAAGCCTGTTACGTCCAATATCGTGTTGCAGTTGAACTGTAAATAAGATCACACCTGTAACGCATGTATGTATATATATATGTGTAATGATAGTTTTGTGTCGGGCCCGCAGTAATTGGCTATTCGCTGTTGCGGTCACCCAGCCGTGGTCATGTACCCACTGTATTTCATTATGTACGTTTGTTTTTGTCCTGTCATGTAATGTACTGTTTCATCGGCAAAGTTTATAAATTAACTAGTGCAGTTACCCAACCACTCCCATTCAACCACTCTCCTATGCATTTCATTACTGCCATTTCTATGTGCAAACCACCAAACATGACCACATAATGATCTTCTCCATGTGTATTGGAATTGTTCCACTGTATCTGTTTTGCTATCGCAAAAAGTGGTTGATCCATTGCTATTACTGGTATTTGACCGGGGTTTAGATGTTGCAGCATGAAAAGCTGCCCAAGACACAAATTCCTCTTTGTCAAGCTTGTCTTTTCCGTAAAGTGATTTGACATTCTCTAACCAATTAATGTTTCTGGTAATTGCATCTTGATCTTGTGTTGGGGGCATTACAGGCCCTATTAACTTAGGGACAACCAGACCTTTATCTTTCAGAACAGCTGGCGGAACATTTCTGTATGCATCTGGAAGTTCTCTCACCATCTTCACTAATAAAATTGATCCCGTGTTCCGTACCATGATTCTCAGTGGTTATATGCTGCACTACTGATATTGCTGCACCATGGAACGAGTCTTTCGCTGTAGTTGCACTAGGATTGTGGTCAATGTTGTCGAGAGCAGCAGTACAGAATAGATCTCTTCGTAGTTTTGGAGGGCAAACTAAACTGTCCTGTTCAAAATGATGGCATACACTGTTTGCAGCATCAGTAGATATGGACATCACACAATCGTATGATGTAGAAAGGCCCATCTGAAATAATGTGTCTATAAGGGTTCTGCTTCTTGTCTTTGTGTGGATTTTCAAACCTATGTACAGGGGAACAGGGCTCTCATGTTCCCTATTATGGCACATAATAGGCTGAGATTCCTCACTAGTAGGTTTCCTGTTCTTGACACATTTAAAGCTTATTAGCTGCAAAATGGCTAAGCTTGCTGCTGTAGTTGATATATTGTCGACTGATTCCGTTTTTATTTGTGGTCCATCGAGAATCATCAATACTATAGCTTTAAGGGAGGAAGGGACACTACTTTCTTGATAATTAGTTCCAAACGACCCATTAAATAATCTATTTTTGTGAGCAAAAATATCTCTCCTTATGATGCACGATGCTCTGGCGAGAAGTAAAGCCTCTGAATCATCGTCATGCTCACAAGCTTTCAATACAGCCCCCCCCCCATATCTTTGTTGAATGTAAGGAGTATATTATTCTTCTGTTTAAAATAAATCAGATCGGGCAATTCTGCTTCAAGTTTATCTTTAAGACACGTTGCATGGACTCTAGAGTGCTGTTCAGCTCCTAGATCCTCCAATATTGCGGAATACATTTTGCATAAATCTGCCAGAGGAAATGCGGCAGATGTTTCCTTGTTTTCTCTGAACTCCTCTATGTACAACCAAGTTCAGCAAAAGCAATGGCGTGTAACCTAGAGTTCTCTTGTTCTTCATTAGTTTTACTGTGATTCCACCTGACGCGATTATAAAACGCAACAATGCACTTAGTGTGATAGATAGCATCAATTGCCACCATATCACCTGCAGCTAATTTCGTAAGTAGGCTAGTGTCATTGAGCTTGGTGGCATACTTTCTTACCTTTGTGTCAACCTCTAAGGTCGATGCTCTGCGTAGGTTGCCGCCAGGTTTGTCACAGAAAAAACACCCACTCTCGAATATTGATTTATCTTCTGTTAAACTTCTCATTTTAGCTACCGATTTTATTGAATCATTGTCTTCGTCCTTGTCTTCTTTTCTTTTAGCGACCCTCTTAACTTCTGCAGTGTTGATCTTGTTTCGACATGATTTGTGCCAGCAAGCTTTATTAACAGTCAAAGTTGCAATTCCACTACCATCGTCAAGTTCATTTATATCAAAGCCAAAGGGATTTGCTTGTAACTCATGCAATTGCGATAAATTTGAGGCTAAATCTTTTCTAATAATTACAGTCTTTTCTAATAAATTATTCTCGACTACTTATTTCAATTCTTACCTTAAACATCGGATAATGTCGTCTCTAAAAACACTGTAAGTTGACCTCCGCCATGACAGTTTGTACACTAGAACCCAGGCCTCTAAGAGATAACCTCACTCCAAATAATTTATTTGTCTTAAATGATTTGGTTTTATGCAGCAACAGTACCAAAGACAATAGAATTTTATTAGAGTCTTAACTATAAACATGAGGGGTAGTATTTTTTTATTGGATAGAAGACCATACTTATATAATTGCCAAGTTTAACCATTATTTGTAATATTAAGTTATTTTGATATAATATTATTAATTAATCAAAAATTGACTACTGAATATTATTCTAATATCACTTCGCATCATATGTACTTTGTCTACCGCATGTAATTGAGTAATATGTCTATCATACTCCAGAATATTGTTCGCGAAATAGCAATTACATAAAAAATTTAAAATGCTGACTTAGCATTTCTGGTCATATTTTTTATAAACCATTTATTCCGTTCCCAGAAATTTCCAGCAATGCCTTTATATCTAAAATCATTAAGTATCAATAGGTCTACATTCGTGGAAAATTTCATGCTTTTATCATTAAACGCACAACTCGATTACGTTTTTATCCTTAGTCGCTAGACTACAAGTCCCCTGTTTAAAGACCTTAAAATAACAAAGTTTCTTGACCTTGTTAATTTACATATTACAATTTTTATGCATAAATTTCATAATAATAATTTGTTTGGAAGAGTGATTTTCATTTGCTCGATTTGACAATTGCTTGTTTACAACAATGAATTGGTTCATTCTTTAGAAAAACCCCATCCAATTGGAGACAACCTTTTGAGGCACTGCGAGGCTTCCAGATTTGCCAACTGCATTTAATAATCTCTTTATTCTTGTCAACCAGACACATAACTACAATATTAGACTTGCATCCAAATCTCCTGAATGATGTGCACTGGTTGTTTTCTTTGTCTGTGTGTTCTCTCTCTGTGTTTTGACTTAGTGTGTTTATACCCATCATCCAAATTTATCATCCAAAAAATAATTGCAAATATTTCACTAAAGTGATCTGGCTGCCCGACATCTAGCCCGTTACAATTATTATGGATAGCTAGTACCTATATTTGGCATAATATTTTTATTAAGTGAATTGTAATAGTGTAATAGTTTTTTTCTTTGGGTTTAGGAAGCAAGCAAAGTTAGTTGTCTTCCTTCTACAATTCTCCAACCTGTAATATACCAGGTGTTCTGGTTGAAGCAAAGAAATTTGGAATAATGGTACAAATTGAGACAACCTGCAACAATTGCAAATGTAATAAACATATTAATGTGTGGACAAGCCAACCTAGAATCATAATGCCAAAATCCAGTATTCCAGTGGGAAACAATGCTGTTGATTGCAATTTTATGTGGAGGTGGATCTGCAAGCAAAACACTGAGAATATTTAAGCACATGGGTTTGGGAAGCATATCTTTGTTCCCATTCTGCCGCCATCAATGCATATGTGCCTATTATGTTGTTAAATCATTTACCTACTGTATATTTAACACATTAAACTACAATCATTACTGTATGTTCACACCTGACATTTTGCTTCCAAAGGGAAGGGTTTTGCAAATTAATGATACATTCAGTGACAATACAGTATATCCTGTTAAACCATTACGTTGCATGCAATATGCACAAAAACACCTTTGCTATTTTGCTCTACGTGTCTATTCACCCATTGAGTGGGCAGCACCCTCCCCTGATGTGTAAAATCATCTGGCGAGTGGTGTTAGACTGAGTAAAGTAATAAAGTGGGGCGCATATGGATGCATTGCCACTTAAGGGTTAATACAGCCAATTTTACTTGTCCATAAGGAATGTTCTTGTCATTATAATGGTTCAATCAAATTAATGGAAATGTCTGTTGTAAAATACGAAACTGTAATGTCACAGGGGATATGTCTCTTACACTTTTATAATATCATGATAATCTCTTTCTATTTTAATTAAAAGACCAAGCTGTTTTCAAGTGTCCATATGCATTGGAAAAGTTATAAAATGTCATGGCAATCCAAAGTGAAGGAAATGCGAAATACTGTGCATACAGTATCAGGTATCAGTGATGGGATCAAAACAAAAACGCTCCATGAAAGAGACAATGTCAACCACAATGCATTGTGTGCTTTTTAGTGTGAAGTTTCTTCGAAACTTCACAGTATTGTGATGACTGGGGGGGAAATTCAAAATTATCAGTCATTCAGTCAGTCATTCATTCAGTCATACAGTTAACTTTCCGGGGGGTGTATACGATTTATGTTCGTAGTGATTTATTGTGCTTTGTCAGTATTTTGAAGGTTATTTAAGCAATTTCAGTTAACTTATTTACATATTCTGTTATCCTTTTGCCAAGTTCACAAAACTTTCGAGGAATCGCTTTTGTTATTGTAATTTTTTGTAAATTTTAGAACATTCGCTTCTCATGTTGTGTAAAGGATCTTTAATCCGGAACACCCGATTTTTCTTTAGTAGCGCAAATGCGCATGCACTATCAAGATCACGATGGCATGATGATATCACTGGACGATATGCTAGGAAGGAGTGGCATTCAATTGAGTACTGATATTATTTTCACGGTATACTCATTATACGGAGATACAGTACGTACGAAGAAGCGAGACAGTGTTGTTTTCAAGTATATAAACATTTCAGACATGAATATTGAGAAAATCTTTGAGATTCTACTCAATAATATAATATATAAATTGATGTTATGATTACCGGCATTCAATTAAGTGCCCATTGATATTATTTAGACTGTGTATTCATTATACATTGTCATTGACTGTATAAGGTGCTACATCACAGAACTCAGTACAAAGAGCGAAAAATTGCATCAGATCAATAAAGCGTAAACAACTATTAAAGGGTATGGGCAATGAAAATTTCTTCATCTATCTTATTGCTTCATCTGAAAGAGCATGAAAAAATAAGCCGATTGGCCGTTTACTGCTCTATTCTATCTCATCTGGTTCCGAAGTTATAAGCAAAAATGTGCAAAGTATAAATTGCTGATTCAGCACAATGTGTGACGTCATAAGCGGGGTAAGTATGTTTATTGAATACTACACTGAAGCATAGCTCAGTTATTATGGGCCCAAATCAAATGAAATTTTGGATACTGATTGTACATGATGAGACGCATGGAAAAACACTTCTAATTTTGTTGCCAAGGTAACAATGTCGTTCCCAGGACCCTTGCGCCAATTTTATAAAACAGCTTTATTCAAGGTACTGATAAAATAAAATAATATCAGAAGTATGTGTACGATACCTATGCATGCCGAAAGTTTACTTGCATGATAATAATTCGAAAATGACATACACATAGAGAAATGCAACTAGTTATTCAAAATCAGTGTAAGGGGCCTGGGAACGACTGTGTTGCCTTGACAACGAAATTAGAAGTATTTTCCCATGCGTCTCATCATGTACTATCTGTATGCAAAATTTCATTTGATTTGAGCCAATAATCACTCAGCTATGCTTTAGTTTACTATTCAATAAACATATTTACCCCGCTTATGACGTCACACATTGTGCTGAATCAGCAATTTATATTTTGCACATTTTTGCTTATAACTTCGGAACCAGATGAGATAGAATAGAGCAGTAAACGGCCAATCGGCTTATTTTTTCATGCTCTTTCAGATGAAGCAATAAGATAGATGAAGAAATTTTCATTGCCCATACCCTTTAAACAGTGTGTCTGTACAGGCGTTTATGAAGAAAATATTGCGAGACGAAAGAAATCAGTTGAGTCAGAGCTCCTTATTTAAATAAGAAAGACGAGGAGATAGCCAATGTGTTATCGCCAATGTGTTATCGCCAACGTGTTATCACCAATTGCTTGGCTCGCCAACAAGATTTATGCAATGGAAAAAAATTTGTATCGCCACCACTCCCATAAACATCTACGACCGCACCTACATATTTTTGCATGTTTACAATTTGCATGGTTACAAATTTTTGATGAGCTTCCACAGTTTGGTGACTTTCATAATATTTACAAACAAAAAAGTAAAACAAAACTCAACAACTGTAACAATTATCAAACACAATGTGTCAATGTCAATGTGTATGCCTAAGCTATTGCTTGAAAAAAAACAATTGGATTGACTGAAGGTTATTTAGTAGCTGAGGAAATGGTACAATTTTTGAAGCTCGATCATTTAGGGGCGGACCATTACTTGGGGGTGGGGGGGTGGGGTGGGGAAAGCAAAAATAAATTCGAGCAGGGAAAATAGAAAGAAAAAAATGCATGTTTGAAAAAACAAATTCGTGCAGAGACTTTTCAATAGAGAAAATTATAAGTTAAAATAAAAAAAATAATTTAAAAAAATATTTGTACAAGTTGAAAAATTCCCCCCCATCACTTTTCTAATGGTTCGCCCCTTAACAAGTAACTGTCATGGGAGAGATTTTCCCTTTTATCTATATATACATTACATATTTTAAGTATATGCTTGATATAAATAACTCAAATCAGATCTTCAACGAATATGAACTATGAATATGAAGTAGTGGTCAGTTCACAATTACCAGACTTTGTTTGTCAAATTTTCAATATGCTACTGGACTTTCAATTTTTTAACTTCCATTTCCCTAGGTTCTAGATCTCTGTCAGAATCTGTAGGGTTTGAAGATGCTGAGGACACCACACCATGGTTATCAACACGTTTGACATGCTCAACTACTTTTCTATCCATATCCACTCTCACAGAAAATCTCCTGCTCAGTTGGTTCTTTTTTTGGAGCTTCCCAGTCAAATGAAAGCTGAATTACCTGCAAAAATGAAAAGATTGGAATACAATTATTTAGATTTACACTATACCCATATGGTATGAGATATATATTTTCACAAACTTATAGAACATTTTTATCTGTCAGTGAATGTTTTGTGTGGTACATGAACTACAGTATTGTGCTATTAATTACATTCTTTACTGACCATTAATGTTATCAAACAGTTTAACTAACTTACTTGTGTATTGGCAGAAAACCGTTTGTTGTTTGGTAACAGTAACATGCAATTATTATACAGCTGAGCAGATCTTTTGAGAGAAAGGGTTGAACATGTTGGACACTTTAGCATTGGGCCAACGGTAGAATTTGAGTCAATATCCATGCAACATCCAACACACTTGAAATTGCAGCTGAAATCTTTGATTGCCAAAATAGATGTCTCCATGCAGATCACATTGGATTTTTGTGATGATTTTGGTGGTGCAGCAGAAACTGTCATTTCTTCACTTAGCTTGCTAATGATGGTCTCTAACGTTGTAGTAATAGTAAGATGGTTGTTGCATTCTGACAAAACTGCGTTTTGTAAGCCAAGAACATCACCTCCCCACAGTACAAGATCAATATGACCTGCACAGTAGGGAAAACAGTGAAAATTTTAAAATCAACAAGGGTAAAGGGACTTACTATAAATATACTAGTTTTTAGATCTGATTTATTTGAAATGTTCTGGTGTTTGTTTTATCAAAATATGTCCAGTCAAAAGTTCTGTCATTTTCAAGTTTGCATGAAATTTTAGCTCCATTTCTGAAAGATGGAGACCAGATGTCCCAACTTCAGTTTTGTATCATTGTGGAGATCTATGCTTTGCTTACAAACACTAAAAATAGGTACGCAATGCGTACATGTTGCATGCCATCTGAAACTTATGATGCGCTATAGCGCTTATAACCTCTGGTACAACTGGTGTGAAACTTAAAATATTGATTCAATAAGTTTAATATCGATATATTTATTGAAAAATAGCTATTATGTCAAAATAAGAAAACTTAAGATTCTCACACGAATAGGCAATGTTTTTATCAGTGACTGTTAATGTTTAGTTGCGAGCGACGGTAATAACAAGGTCAAGGTGGGTCAAGGTTTTATCAAAAGCAATTGACTGTTAGATTTCCTTTACAAATAGTATAATTAAATAACGTTTTTTCCAATACTGCTATAGATTTAGCTTTATTGTAATTTTTTAAAGGTTTAAAAAACCAGTGGAAACGGTGAATTACTATAATAGATTGAAAATGCTTATTAAGCTATGATTGAAATTGTCGAAGCTGAAAAAGAATAAAGGTACTAGTTCGTTAATATGACCTTACGTTTTTTTCTAATTCATTTGGGAGAGAAGAAATGGCTGTATTTTTCATTTTGGAATTGGAGTGATTGAAATGAGTTAATTTACACTACTGTAAACCTCAGAATATTAGCCCCTCCCGAATACAAGCAGACCCAAATATAAGCCCCCCCCCCGAATATAAGCCCAGTAGCCCACTACATTATTCAACATTGACATTGCCTTTTATATCAGAGAATGATATTTAAAAACATTGTCATTGTCTTTATATCTTACTATGTTAATCAAAGCGAGTTATAATTAATACACGTTTATTTTCCTGTTTATGACTAACTTGTTTACGTCTGATTTATTAGTTACTAACACAAAAGATCGTCCTTGTATAAGCCTCCCCCCCCCATATATAAGCCCTCCCCCTTGTATAAGCTCATCAAAAATCGCTGACGAAAATATATTAGCCCAGGGCTTATAGTTGGAGGTTTACGGTATATCGAATGTCATGTTGAATGTCATGTTGAATCTTATGCGTACTTCACAATGGTTGCTATTTCGTTGTATTAAATTTCAATAGTATTACTATTTTAATTCAAATTTTGTTTGATATTTATATTTCAAAATGTGCTGTAGTTTTAAAGCTTTGCACAGAATATAAATAGTGCGAGCACAATGGCTCCTTTCAGTTTGAGTATGTAAAAATCGAGTATTTTGATAGCGTGGGCTTTGAGCATATGGCTTTGAGGCTTTCGCGATACATAAATAAAAGCCTGATAATTGATCAATAATCAGTGCGCGCGAGCACCCCAAAATCACAACAAATAACAGAATATACGGCAAGTTAAAAACAACAAAGCTTTACCTACCTCGATTTATTTTTCTAAGGCGCTCAATTATGTACATTTTCGGCGAATAATTGATATTTCTTTGCATTTCCTCGACGAAAACCCGGTATGAATTATGAAAGTGCTTGTCGGAAAAACTCGACGTATTTGTCGTATTTTACGAACCTGCCACGTGACTGGTACGCTCACCGCTCACTCACCAACCACGACACAAAATTTAGAGCTATATGAAAGTTGCATGCCGTATATGGCATGCAACAAAAATTTAAAAAATAAGATGCTGTATACTATTTTTGTTACTGTAGGCTATATAGCTGTGTGATAGGCTATGTTGCTCGTGAAATTCCAATCTCATATCCCTGGTCAAGCATGCATGAGACTTACCTGTGGACAGTCGTGAAGCCAGCGTCGTGTGAGTGGTAATGCAAATGAGCGCCGAAGGTGCGAGACTCCCTAGCGGGGTTCAGGGGCATGCCCCCCCCCCCAAACTCCGAGAAATAGATTGACCTAATGAAGGAAAATATGTTGATATTTTGGCATATTTCAGATAACAATAATGCAGAGCGACACAAAAATAGGAAATCTGTGGTCTGCAGTTCCGCTCTAATTATAGTCATACTGGCAGTTATGTATTTCTTTTCGATCAGAAAATATTATATGCATAGATGTTCTGTATTATCATAGTCTGTATAGACTACATAATTTTTAATTGATTACTTTGGTATGCTACCCCCTTCTAGTATTCCAAAGTGAAGTCTGAAGAGTTTGTTTACATTACCAGAACTAGAGAAATTTTATCCACATATACTAACGAAACATAATGACAAACAGCTGCTAATACAGTCAGTATAAGCTAGAATATAGGTATAATATGCAGACTTGGAAAATATAACGCATTACGCATTAGGCCAATTTATTACAATATTATTTTTAGATACAGAAAGCCGGAATTAGGCATTATTAGATGTTTGAGTTGAAATTTTACTGTCAGTTTACAGGGAGTATGTACCAAATGGTAAATACAATTTAACAATATATACTGAAATTTTTTTGTTTGTTTCACAAACAAGTATATATCAAATATGTTGCTAAATCACGAACTTTGCAGCGCTATTTATAGAACTACATTGTTTACTACATTAATATTGACCTCGACCACCTCGACATTGACATTGTATTTCATACAGTATATAGCGCTTGATGCTTTATACGCCTATGCTCGGGTTGAAGGCTTAAATATTCAAGACAATATAACAATAATTAAATACAAATAGCTTATTTAGCCTAAGCCATTCTTTCTTTGAATACGACATTTCAAAACTTTTCCCGATTGGCCATGTCGAAAGATCTGGCGTTGGTCTCTGCTTATACACAATAATATTCTGCTGAGCAGAAAATTTTTTTTTCACCAATTCCCAAACAATATCGTTAGCTTTGAGACTACTTAGAGTAAAGAAGAAGTAGACATGCTTGAATGACCTGAAGACGTGTTCATTCAGGCTGAAAGCTTCGAGCTAAGAGGCTGTGATCAGATTGTGTTGCCCATTTAGTCATGCAAATCGAAAATTGCATGACCAAGGCGTCAAAAACAGCCACATTGCATGTGCGCGAACGTTGTAAGCCAATGTAAGTAATGTAAGCGTTGTAAGCTAATGTAAAATAATATAGCTAGTCATGAAATTCTGAAAATGCACGACCAAAACACACAATCATTTTCTACGTGCTTATGCAACCAGTCATGCATGTGAAAATATGCAGGACCGCTCAGTTGCCAAGGTAACAAAGCCAAAGTCAATAACATACAAGAATATTTAGCGAAAATATCGCCTAAAGACCACTGATTTGGGTAAGCAAAATAATAAATAAAATATTTAGTCGTAGAAGTGCAAAGATAAAGTGTAATCTATTGTAAACAATTATACTGGACTGATTTTTAAACATTTTTGGGGAAATTTTTAGTCATGCACTGCATGACCGCCGGCTTCACCACTGCCTGTGAAATCAGCTACATGTACATCTCTTTTGGTCGGGATATGAACCAACAGATTGGACATCTTCTACCCGAGTAACCTTAGCTTTGAGGTTGATGAATCTGATATGACATGTGTCCCCTCTCAAAATCTGAGAAATCGTAAAACAACACTCTTTGAGTTTGATCTGGGAAGCTGCTTTTTTACCAATGTAGACTGCTCAATTAGTATTTCAACAGTGTTGGTAGAACCATATCCCTTTTTGACTTTGAATTGTTGAAAGTCATATGTTCCATTTGCTTCAAATTTGTCAAACATATTCTTGTCAAAACACACAGCTTGTACTGTTGAAGATGGATCTTGATCACACAAGTTCATTGAGAACATTGATCCATTTCTTGTTGGTTGTATTGGACTTTTAGTCAGAATAGCACAGGTTAGGTTTATGAGTATTTTTTTGGTGATTGTGGGGTAACCTGAGTATCAGGCCCTCTGTATTGAAGAGAGCCTGACACAATTCGCCTCTACGGGCTTTCCACCCCCAGAATATCAGCCAATTAAAATTATTTCCGGTTGTAGCATATTTCCGGTTGTCCGCTACAGGTATGTAAATACGCAAATTTCGTTATTTGCAGTTTTGTATAAATTTGAATAAATCCGTATTTATTCAAATTTATGGGTATGTTTTTGTCGAAATATCCACATGATGGAATTCTAAGTGTAAACTATGCCTCATTCGGGGAACCATAGCTCGGTGGCTTTTTCCAGGAGTCTAAAGAGACAACATTCGGCGCTCTGAATAGGATTTCTTCTTCCTAGACAGCTATTCGCTTCAACTGCGTCTGACACAGCTGCTATTGTCTTCAATTTCTGCCTGATGTTGGTATATTAGTTCGAGCGAGCTGACTACTATATCCTTGCAGGTCTTGGAAAACAGCTCGGCAATAAACTGATAAATAAGGCTTCAGCTTTTTGGAACTAAATAATTGAAAATTTCCGACATCCACATATTTTCGTTCTACGGCGACTATTACGGCGAGATATTTAGACACGCTTTCTACTATGACTATGTAGTTTTATACCGAGTAAAATGTTGCTGCAAAAGCGTTTTCAACGTCTTTTCGTACTTATTTTGTCATTTTTAGGCTTAATTAATTGAAAATAAATTTCAGAAATAAAGCACTTTTAACAGTATATTGACAAAATTACAAATTCTATTTTTGGTGTTTACATACGCCGGTCATATATTTCCGGTTTGAATCACATGATGCGTTTTATCGTCTCTTAGCCAATCAGCATAACATCCAGATTCTGGATGTTGAACATGGCTTAAAGGCGAATTGTGTCAGGCCCTCTTTCAATACAGAGGGCCTGATACTCCGGTTAATTGTGGGGCAGTTGTCCCTTTGAGATCTTCAATGGTAATTTTACTCATCTTTATACTACCATTTGCAATCAACTGGTCAGTGTCCAATGTTTCAACAACGTCACGTTATTGCCGCGGAATGTAAACGTTTACATCCGGTTTTGACATGTTTTGAATCAATTTTGAAATGTTTACACGCCCATTACGCCAGGTTGTTGCCTTGTTATTTAATTCACTTTGAAATCAAAAAACCCTTACACTTTACGGAAATGCAAGTCAATAGCCAAGGTCGTTCTTACAGACAAGGTGTAGGGTTGTCAAGGGACATGAAATCCTTGATAATCGACGAACTTTACCGTCGCGGTGGAGACAGATTAACACAATTCGTTCCTGTAGGTTCATACACCGCTGTTTCTAACGCTATAAAAGTATCATTAAAAACGGTAAAAAAGTATGGTTGCAGTATTGTAATCACTATACATTGGAAGGGAAAAAATCTGGAGTGGACAGACATAGCAAACTGAAGTCCGAAGATCTAGAGCTTATCGAATTAATGAAAAAATATAAGGGATCTGTTTCACTCAAAGAAATTTATTCTACTATGGAAGAACTAGGGAATACACAAGGAGACATCTCGATCTCGTCAATATCACACACATTGAAATCTAGAATGGAATCTGGCAAAACATATACGTGTAAGAAAATAACCCATGTCGACTTCACAATGGTTTGCTTATAACAATTTATTGTATACGCAAATATTTATGGATTACCTAAGCTCGAAGAATCCGAACAGTTTAAAGTTTTTTGACGAAGCAGGTGTTAAATATCCAAACGTTAGCATGCGTTTATATGGACATGCACCAAAAGGAGAGTGGTGTGTTGAAGTTGTGAAAAAATGTGAATCGCCAAACGCAACAATCAACATGATTGTCTCATTGAACGGCGCTGAGTATTATGATATCATTGACGGGGCCTCAAATACTTACGAATTTTAAATTTTTTTTGGAAAAGCTTCGAATGCTGTTAATTTACAAACGTTGCATCCAGCTCTCGAAATAGGCGACATTCTAGTGATGGACAACTTATCGGTTCATCATTACGAAAGTGGGGAAGTACTCGAGGAATACTTGCAAGAAATGAGCGTTGAATTGCTATATACTCCGGTTTTTTCTCCTGACCTAAACCCCATTGAGCATTCTTTCAATTATGAATTACGAACAGTTATGAATTACGAACTTAAAGAAATAACGTCGGCAAATATGAAATTATCAGCAATGCTTACAATCGAAAAGATTTCTCATGAGGACATGGTGGGCTTTTTCAAAAACACTTCATATTTATTTCCTTGATTTATAGTTGTTAAAAATGATGTTTACTGTATATTAATTATCGAAAGATTTGCTGTAATACTGTTATTGTAGGTGCGGGAAAAATTTCGAAGGACATTTTTACTGTAATAAATATTTCATCACAATCACAACACTGCATGTCACTGTATTCAGTTTGATATTACAGTTTACCCTACAGTAATATAACTGCATTGTGTACAGTATTAATAATACTAGAACCAACTGAGTTAGTTGGAACATACCAACAACAACAACAACAACAACAACAACACTGTTCCGCTAGCCTATTCACAATTAACAAAATATTAAAGTTTGTTCTCGTATAGTATACATATAAACAAAGCACAATGTCGGCATTGTCAATGCCAAATTGACAATGTCAGCAACAACAGTGTCATAAATAGTGAAAATATGTTTAAAACTGACATTCAAAAACTGCTCATTCAAGTGGTATCACTATCCAAATTTCGCAATGAAAGTAGGGCCAGCTGCTGCATCGTTTACAGTGCAAGTGACTTCGTTAATATTGACTGATTCCTGCACAGTACCAGCATCCTGTTGAGTTGCAAGTAGAAGATGGTTTTGAACAAGGTAATGTTGAGCGACTGTAGTAGATTGACTCAATGTCATACTGACCGCGTTCATGTTGACACTCATTTTCCGCGTAATTAGCAGACAAAGCAAGTCTAAGTTGCTCATTCTCCTCTTTCTCATTCGTAGGCTTAATTCGATCAATCCAAGATTGATTGCACAATCTCGAACGGTTTAAATCAGGACTACACGATCTAACACGGGTGTATGTTGCGAGTTATGTTTCTTCATCAGAATCTTCAAGTTCAGAGTCGTGAGATTCCCTGTGACGAGTTGGAAATTGTATTCCATACCTTTCTAATGTGGGTCTGGCCGGGTTTTCACATTTTTTCTTACTTTGTTTGAGAGATATATCTATCCCTGTGCAATCTTTAGATGTTAGGGCAGCTTCGAGACAAGTCAAAATCTCATGCTTTGGCGGAATTCTGCCATGCAGTGTAGTTTGACAGTACTTTCGCAGAACGAAAACATGTTTCCTAAGAAGACTCCAGTTTTTAACCCCCCCCCCATATTATATGACACTGGATCTGCATTGAGTAACGAGTCCTCTAATTTATTTAGGATATTGTCCTTTAAATTTTCAGTGGCTGATTTTTTGTTTTCCAGCTCCTCGATTAGTTTTTCTTTTTCAGTTTTTAGCTTTTTTACGTTTCGCGCCATTTGTTTTAAATTAACTTCGCCTGTGTGCAACTTATCTACTCCGCACTGAAAAACAGAAGTGCACTTGTCAACAAATTCACAATTTCGCGCAGTATGACGAAGTCGCATATGACAATTCCTACAGAGATTTCCCTGTCCCACGTTATTACTCTTTGCTCTTTCAATTCTGCTTTTAACATTTAATTCTGCCATCATTACTTCTTGTATCCTTTGATCTTTTTCTTCAATATTTTGTTCAGTTTTAGCTAAGTATCTTTGGATCGGAGTGTTTATAAGAGTTTCGGGCTCGTGTAATTCATGACAAGTTGGCCGAGCTTTCGTGATTGTGGATGTATTTGCAGTATGTGTACGCTTCGTTTTTGGTTGCGTATTACTCATAAAAAGTTCTGATTTGTCTATTTGTTTCCCTTTATAAAAGTCAAGTCGTCGTTTACGGATTGTTTCAGAACAATTATTCTGATTATCAGGATCATTATAAAAGCGATCAGAAGTAAATTTTTCAGTACCTGATTCCATTGGCGTTGGTAGTATTTGTTTTAGAAGCATTTCTATTCTTTCCAATAGGTGTAACCTTGTTGTGAACTCGCACACACATTCTAAACATGCCATCTGTATTTGGCACTGCTGTCAAGCATCGTATTGCATCTTTCAGATCAGAATCATCCATCATGGTAACAAACGTTTTTTCATCATCTCTGTATTGAATTCGAGCAGTTTGGCTGTCAACACCGCTCATAAATCCGCCAACTGTGTTTTGTACTATGCGTTTAAAATCTGCTAAATATAAGCAACTTAATTCACTTTTAAATAACGAATGTACTTTGCAGCGAGAAAAGTCTTCACCGTAAAGCATTTTAATTTGAACTAACATTTTCTTATCGAATTTTTCTTTTACGAATGAGTGGTGTTCAGAACAATTTGACAAACCACAGTTTAAACATTTCAAAATTGATTCAAAACATGTCAAAGCTGGATGTAAACGTGTACATTCCGCGGCAATAACGTGACGTTGTGACTGACTTAACATAACGTTTTGAAACGTAAACATCATGAAAAAATTTGGACACTGACCAGTTGATTGCAAATGGTAGTACCTGAAATTTATTTGATTTTAAATAGTTAATATTTAAGAATGACTGTGTATAAAAATCAAGCAAAATTTCAATCTTGGCACAAGCACAGAAATCGATTTTCTTCATTCATCTTCAGCCTTTTGATAGTCCTTTGATACTTAGAATCGTGATGTTGTAGTTTGATTTGCAAAAAACGCATTCTTTCGCGAGAAAATACGAAAAATTGATTTTACCCTCATACTGCGTCAAAACAATAGAAATAGGCATGGTGTAGGTCAGATTTTAAAACTGTTTCAGCATGCCTCAAGACAACAGAAAACTAGGATATTCGAACTCAATTTTAATACAGGTATTAGTAGTGAAACGCTGAGAGGTAATTATAGGTTTTTTGATCTATTTTGTGAAAGAGTAAAATTGAATGACGGAAGTGCCTTTTTGACACATTCATGGTATCAATTTTATATCCTAAATATAACTGGCTTTTTCGTTATGTGCTATGATATTGAAGTGTTGCTCTCGTGCATAACAAAAAAATTGAATTGGGTTATTGTAATAAAGCCGTGAAAAACCTAATTTCCACGTAAACAAAGCTATTTTTAGAACCCTACGGCTGTTACACCATCACTTATCGAAATCAAAACTTTGGTTGGAAGATACTTGAATCGATCCAAAATATACAAAAAAATAAAATTTTGCAAGATGGAAAAATGCTGCCTTAATTGGTTTTAAAACAGAATCTTCAAGCTTTCTATTGAATGTAATTTGTCACGATTGGATATATTTTACTATTTGCGGTAATTGCCTTAATTCAATCATTAATCAATCAATCGTAATAATATTAATTACACTAGAAACAACAACATTATTTAAAGAACTAGGTGCCTTCCAGCATTTTAAAACTTAAATTTCATTTAAAGTTTTGTATCATGGAAACCAATATTTTTACGGTGCAAAACTTTCCGGATATGTCAGTGATATCAATGAGTTAATTGACCTAGACTTGACTGTCCTAGATATTGTCGTAAGTCTTGCTATGCCAGCTCACATTGCACAGGAGCATTGTCCAACAAAGACAGTCAGTTTGTCTATGTAAGGCTGCTTTAAGTTTGCCTTGATGTTGTTAATGTCAATATCAAAATTAATGCACATTTGTTGCAGCATTGGAACTGCGAATCTTTTCATCTTTGAATTGCTAATGAGCACACACATGTTGTGACGGTCGTAATAAGTTGGGTGTTACAGAGATACTTCTTGACACGCCTGGCATTTTTGCATGCGAAATTGCACATTAAAATGTGTCCATTTTTTTCGTTGCCGCGCGACAATTTTGGGAGCTTGGTAGCAAAGTTGATAATTGAAAAATTCCTCAAATTCCACGAGCGCGTGCTTGTGCGCGTTTTCCTTGAGGGTTTTTTAAGGTAAACAGGGAAACAGAGCGTGTCTCGGGGATCAAAATGATATCAAGATTACCATGGTTATGCGGAATGTTTTGCCAAAGGAGCGCTTGTTGTTCGGGGCATTTGAGGGAAATGGAGACTTTCGCATCATGTTGTCAAAATGCAACAACTTCGGCTTGTATAGGATTCCTTCTACAGTGTTATTTTCATTTTATTTTTGAATCCAGTACAAGTTAAGATACCTATTAAAAATCGTATGTTTTTTGTTTTTGACAAAATGTGCTAGAAAAGATAATATTATACCTTTTACAAAGGCATATACGCAATAAAATATTCGATGTTGGAAAGTATATGCGAAAGACACAGTTAGGCTGTTGGCAGTTGAAGAGGAGAACAAAAATGCAATATATACAGCTCAGGAGCTTAAGCGATTAGATTCCAAAGTAAGAAAGGTTTTACATATCTCTTGTATTTTTTGTAATCGAGTTTCTGATTTATCGTGGTCTTTTATTCAATATATATCTTATATTATGAACTGAGCCCATCTTGATCGTACTATACACAGGTTTATTCTTGTCATGATGATAAATTTATATTCGCGCACAATTTTTGTCTACCACAGTACTTATTGAACTTGAAGCTCACAATTGGGTTGGCTTTAAATAGTATACAGTTTATAGTTTAATAATTAAAAATAGATATGCAGTAAGTGATATAAAACAAACTATTATCTAGTCTAATGGGTTAGCATATTTGCAAAATTGTAAAGCACCTTAACACTTAGAAGTGTTAAGGTGCTTTACAATTTTGCAAATACGCTAACCCAGTAGACTAGATAATAGTTTGTTTTATATCACTTATAGCATATCTATTTTTAATTATTAAACTATAAACTGTATACTATTTAAAGCCAACCCAATTGTGAGCTTCAAGTTCAATAAGTACTGTGGTAGACAAAATTAATAAACTCCCCGAAAGTAGCATGGTATATGAAAGGTACATCCCGACTGCTAGTTGCTCACACACTTTGAATATTATTGTGTCCTCTGCTGGAATCGCCCCTGCAGCCCTGCAATCCTGGTGCAATTGCAGCATTCTAACCAACAAAACTGAGCTACAGAGTCCAGTTGTCAAGCTGGAATCCATGTTTGTATACTTGGGTACTGCTGTGTTAGTATCGCTAAATACCAAAATTGAAACCTATAACCTTTAAAACATATTAATATTTACTGATACCTTGACAAGGCAGTAACCAGTATATATACTTGTGGTTAGAGCTCGACATTTGGACTCTGTACTGTAGCTCAGTTGTTTAGGACACTAGGCCTATATATTATTCTAAGAGATTCTGTTGGCATCCCACTCATTATAATAGTTGGGTCTTGGACATGGAAATTGTCGAGTGGAAATTTATAGACACTTATTATTCCAAAACAAGGAACAGCTGTGAAAAAAAGCAACTGTAGGTCCCTGGCCGGAATTAGACCTGCGATTCCAGTGCAGCACTCTAACCGACAGAGGCCAGTTGTCGAGCTCTCTTATGGGTTAGGGTTATACCGAACTTCTCTTGTTAAATTGTTAACAGGTATACAACCACAGAAATCACAAAGACAAATTACATTTATTTGTATAAAAATATAGAATTCTCACGCTCACAAATCACGTGTTTTGTTTTGTCTCGTATGCAAACGTCAATCATGCTTACGTCACTTATATTTTATTTTATTTTTATTTTACAGATTTTGCCATTTAACACAAACTATTACACACAATAGATTACATGGCTGGAATTACCACACAGAGATTAGTTCTCCAATAACGGGGTTCCAAAATGGGGGGGGGGTCCATTATTCCGTACACACTCGCCTAAGAATTAAAGTTTAATTTTTATAGCTTCAAAACCGAATATCAACGTATATATTAAATGTTCAGTCCTCTTCCAACTGCGTTAGTTCATTTATTTTCTTGATTGCTTTCTTTGCGGCTTGTCTCTGAGGTCTCTTTTCTTTCTCCGATTCCTTTTCTTCAACTTCTTTGTGTCGTTCGTTTGGTGTGCAATGAATCTCAAGCGGACAGATCAACTGTAGTGGTCGTTCAATAGTACGCCCTTTGTGCAACAGCACAACTCCTCTGACTACACCGTCTTTTCCACGAACTTGTCGAAGCACTTTCCCTTTTTTCCATTCTCCCCTGTTCTTCTCTTCTCCCACTACCAGGACAACGTCTCCAATGTGTGGTGCTTCGACAACCTTGAAATTGACTCGTTGGCTCTCCAGTAAACTATGCACATATTCCCGCTTCCATCGTTTCCATGCATCATCTTTTGCTTTTCTAAGTCTTCTTTGCATCTTGGTTAGCTCGTCTTCTTCATCTTCAACATCGTCTAACATGTAAGAGTTTTCTCCCCGAATGAGTATGTTTGGCGTCAGGACTTGTTTCTCCCCACCATCACATTCTACATAAGTTAACGGATGGTTGTTCATGTTGCTTTCGATGTTCAATACGACCGATTCCAAACCTTCAAAGAATAAGTGTGATTTTCCCAAGGTTTTTATAAGGTTTTCTTGATTTCACGAATCAGCCTCTCGTAGATGCCTCCCCACCATGGGGACTTTGCCAGATTAAATCTCCAATAGATATCTTGGGTTGCGAGGAAATCCTGAAGCTTCTCACTTTTTCGAATTAGCTTAGTCCACTTTGCAGTCGCTTTGAAAGTAGCAGCATTATCGGAAATCATCAAGCGAGGTCTTCCTCTACGTGCAATAAATGTGTTAAGTTTTCGCTGAAATTCACCAGCTTCTTGAGTTTAGTTAGTTCCAAATGGCTCTACATGCAGCGCAAGTAAAGATTAGAACGTAAGACTTTCCTTCTTCCTTTTTGTTGACCTTGTACCTTAACGGTCCGGCAAAATCCATGCCAGTGATCTCAAATGGCTTGCTGGTCTCAGTTCTAAATTTAGGCATGTTACTTGTCGCTGTCGCTCCGTATGGTTTCGTGGAGTACAGTTTGCAAACGTTGCAATTTTTTATCACCTTCTTTACCTTCGATCTTAGTTGAGGGATCCACCAGTTTTCTCGCAAGGCGGCCATTGTATTTGCAATGCCTAAGTGCATAATTTGATTGTGTGTATGTGTGATAAGCTTCTCTGCAAACAATCCTCTTTTGATAAATGTTGGAGTATATCCCCGAACTCTTCCCCTGCATTTGAGAATGTTTGTGTTCTTATCTTCGAAGATTTTCCAGCCAGGTGCTTGTAGAGTTGGGTTAATATTTTTCTGAATCATTATCACCCATGTATTCTTTGCTTTCACAATTTCTTCATTTCCGATGGGCCCAGATTTTCTTTTATCTTTACGCCGTTTCGCCAAACAGTTGTGCAGGAATCTCAGTGCCCACGCTGTAACTCTTAATGTGCGCCAATACGAACTTCTTTCCAGCAGCGCATCCCATTCATCAGGCTCTCGTTCTTTGGTAAAAAAGACCTCCACCATGCTGGGTTTGCTCTCTTCGCTTACGTGTGTAGTAACCTTAAGCTGGGGTTGTTTGGGCCACTGTTCTACATGAAACAACCACTCAGGACCAGTGAACCATCCGTCTTTTACCATTTTCTCAATTGTAGCTCCCCTGCTGCCTAGATCCGCCAAGTTCTCACTTGATGGGCAATACTTCCACACCAAACCAATCTCGTTGGTAATTTCTGCTATCTTCTTAACTCTATTAGCGACGAAAGTCTTCCAAGGCTTTCCAGGGTTACTTAACCAGTAAAGCGCGACCATACTGTCCATCCAGATGATGATAGACTTAACAGGCAATCGCAGTAGCGCATGGTATAAATTCCTTGCCATGTTCGCCGCCATTTGACCACTCACAAGTTCCAACCTCGGTATTGTGGTGTTCCTTTTGGAAATTCGAGATTTGGACGTTAACAGACCTTTCACAGTTCCTGATTTGTGCTCTACCACTGCGACTGTTGCTGCACAGCAAGCAAGGTTACTAGCATCTGCAAACAAATGGAGTTGAATGCCTTCAATCACGTCCGATTTCTTAGTTATAGCTCTAGGAACTTTAACATTTTTCATTTGATTGTTCCACTTGATCCACTTGATCCACTTTCTTTTCAAGGATTCTGACACTTCAGCGCTCCAACCTTTTCTTTCTTCACAGGCATCTCGAAATATGTGCTTACCCTCAGCCATGGTAGGCGATACCATTCCCAAAGGATCGTAGACTCTTCCTAACCGACTCAAAATACTCCTCTTTGTTATTGGTTGGTTCTCAGGCATGGTTGCTGCTTCGAATTCTAATGTATCTTCTTGTTTATCTCAGACGTGTCCGAGTATTTTACTTGGGTTTGGCATGTTTTCGTCTTCGAGGCACGCGATGTTTGATTCCCACTTGTGGATTGGGAATTTGGCTTCCTCAAGAATGATGGAGCTTTCTTCTTTAAATTTCCTCAAGTCGTCAGTATCACTTCCAGTTTTCATGATGTTATCAACATATGTATTCTCTTTAAGAGCTGTCACAGTTTCCTCAAATCTTGTCGGCTGTTGCTCAAGGTGGTATCCCAACGTTGCTCCAACCAGAAAGGGACTGGCTTCGACGCCGAATGGTAATCTTGCAAACCGGAAATGTTCCTCTTTTCCATCGATTTCGAACAGGAATCAAAAAGCATCTCTGTCCGTTTCCTTAACACCAATTTGCAAAAAGGCTTTCTGGATATCTGCCAGAAGTAGATTTGGTGTCATACGCACTCTGATCAAGATGTCCCAAAGTAGTGGTTGCAAGGACGGTCCAGTGAACATACATTTGTTAATACTGTTAGCCAATGGGGCTAGTTTAGCGCTAGCATCAAAAACCATTCTGATCTTTGTTGTTGTTGCGTTTTCCCCGATCACAGGCTTGTGAGCCATGTAATATGTACGTTTTCCTGCTGGCTTTTCTGGGGCTTTTTCTACGATGCCATTGGCAAGCTGATCTTTAACTATCTTTTCATACTCTACTAGTAATGATCGATCTTTACTCAACTTCTTGTTGACATTGGCTAGGCGTATTCTGCTCGGCTGTTCATTAGTACCGTACAATCTGGCTCCAGGAATCCATGGTATACTTACTTCATATCGACCATCCTTTTGCCTTGTTACACTTTCTCGAAAGTCAGTCAGCACCTCCATCTGGTCTTTCTCGCTGCGGTCCTCAACACCGAGTACATCCAAACTGTAAAGCTGCTCACACTCATTGATCTCCCGAACAAACATGCACTGGTCGCTACTGTAATCATCTCCCCCATGGATAAGCCAACCGAAAGTGGTTTCTTCGACTACTGGATCTCCTTCGTTTCCCTTGAGCACTTGTTCTGTTCTGATTCTGCTGTAAGTTTTATCTCCCAAGATGAGGTGTATTGGATAGTTGCCTGAACGCACCATGTAGAACATCTTATCCTTTGCATGACAAAATTTCTGTTTCAACTGGCTAATGTCGGGTCTTTGTACTGTTGTGAAGTCGCGCATCTTGGAACCGGTTACTTGAATCTCTTCTTGCACAGTTCCATCCAGGGAATTAATACTAACTTGATAGATTGGCATAGATTGCTTACTGATACCATTCAATGTTACAATTTCTCTAGACTCGTGGTGAACTGGGGTTAACTTCAGTTTCTTTGCTGCATCCCGAGAGATGAAATTCCTTCCAGATCCTGTGTCAAGAAACGCCCACAATGTTTCTTCGCCTATTTTGACAGGAACTATGGCTGGGAGGGACTTTTCTTCTACAAATGTACTGTAACCATGTAACACAGGCTCTGTAGTTGGTTTATCTGGTTTCTTCTTGTCACACAAGCTGGTATGCTGTTTCGATCCACATTTAAAACAGGCACGACTACGACATTGGTTTCCCCGGTGTCCTGCTCGCCCACAATTAAAACACAAGTTGTTTTCGACGAAAAACTTCTTTCTTTGTTCCATTGTCGAAAGTGTCTTACACTCATCACTCCAATGCTCTTCTTGGCAAAACATGCAATGTGGGTTTTGTTTTCCTTCATTCTTGCGAGTGAACCAATTTCTATCCCTACGTCTATCATTTGGGGGTTTTGAACTCACATCTACCTTATTTCTCCTCAACCAAGCTTGTAGATTTTTAATAAGATCTTCCATATTCCAATCTTCCCACTTTTCATCCACTCTCACGATGTGATGTCAGGTTTGACATGGGGCAACTTATTTAGGGTGGTCATTACAAAACCTTGCAACATATCTCCCTGTCCCAAAGTCTGCAAGGCGTCATAGTTATTGCTAAGTTTTTCATAAAACTCCTGAACCTTTTCATAGCTTGACCCTTTCACCGCATCTAGATTGATTATTTCGTCCAAATGTGCATTAATTACCAATTTGGTTTGGCCATATTCTTGCTTAAGTCGATCCCATGCCATTTTATATCCCAAAGTACTTGGTTTTAGATTTGATATGCGATCTCTTACCTTTGGCACAACTGATTCAAGGAGATATCCAAACTTTTCTTCATCTGAGATGGGCCTTTTATCGACTTGTGTGAGAAACATATTCTCAAAACGAACCCAATCTGCGGCAGTTCCTTTAAATGCAGTGATTTTCAGCTGAGGAAGTTTCGCTAGACTGCTTTTCGCAGATTTCTCCATTTCGATTTTTCTTTCCGTCATTTGCAGCTCAGCGGCGAACGTTTCCTCCCACATCAACTTTTCTCGCGCTCGTAATTCGATCAAACGTTGTTCATCCTTCTCGCGTTGCACATATTGTTTACGTCGCTCTGCTTCGTCGTCAATTTCCCTCTGCCTTTTTTCAAGAATTTGCGAAAGCTTGTTCATTTTAGGCACCCATTGCGCGTACTTATCCTTCGTGTCCTTTTTCCATTGTCGTATTGGTCTCTGAGTTTCAGCTCCTCGATCAATTTTAAGCTCTTGTACACTTGCAACAAGATTATTTACTTTGTCAAATATGGCGTCTGTTCGTTTCTTTACAACTTCGATCTCTGCGTAATCGCCTTCTTCAATAATATCGTCAATTGGCTCGAGATAGTTTTTCGATTTCCTTGTCTATTTCAACCTCTTTCTGTTTTTCTGCTGCCTCCTCGCTCATTGCTATATGTTCCACGTCGTACAAATCGATAAATTCTCGTATTTACATGACCAAGTAATGTGTTGTTGTCGTTAAATAACTCGTTAAATATTTAAATTACCGTTCGATTTTTTGTTCAATCCTTGTCACGGCACCACTTATATACCGAACTTCTCTTGTTAAATTGTTAACAGGTATACAACCACAGAAATCACAAAGACAAATTACATTTATTTGTATAAAAATATAGAATTCTCACGCTCACAAATCACTTGTTTTGTTTTGTCTCGTCTCACATAATCTAATAATAAACGACCCCCCATCAACATGCTCTTAATGTTTCTTTCATGCAAACGTCAATCATGCTTACGTCACTTATATGGGGGGGTCCACTATTCCGTACACACTCCTCTAAAAATTAAAGTTTAATTTTTATAGCTTCAAAACCGAATATCAACGTATATATTAAATGTTCAGTCCTCTTCCAACTGCGTTAGTTCATTTATTTTCTTGATTGCTTTCTTTGCGGCTTGTCTCTGAGGTCTCTTTTCTTTCTCCGATTCCTTTTCTTCAACTTCTTTGTGTCGTTCGTTTGGTGTGCAGTGAATCTCAAGCGGACAGATCAACTGTAGTGGTCGTTCAATAGTATGCCCTTTGTGCAACAGCACAACTCCTCTGACTACACCGTCTTTTCCACGAACTTGTCGAAGCACTTTCCCTTTTTTCCATTCTCCCCTGTTCTTCTCTTCTCCCACTACCAGGACAACGTCTCCAATCTGTGGTACTTCGACAACCTTGTTATTGACTCGTTGGCTCTCCAGTAAACTATGCACATATTCCCGCTTCCATCGTTTCCATGCATCATCTTTTGCTTTTCTAAGTCTTCTTTGCATCTTGGTTAGCTCGTCTTCTTCATCTTCAACATCGTCGAACATGTAAGAGTTTTCCCCCCGAATGAGTATGTTTGGCGTCAGGACTTGTTCCTCCCCACCATCACATTCTACGTAAGTTAACGGACGGTTGTTCATGTTGCTTTCGATGTTCAATACGACCGATTCCAAACCTTCAAAGAATAGGTGTGATTTTCCCAAGGTTTTGTATAAGGTTTTCTTGATTTCACGAATCAGCCTCTCGTAGATGCCTCCCCACCATGGGGACTTTGCCAGATTAAATCTCCAATAGATATCTTGGGTTGCGAGGAAATCCTGAAGCTTCTCACTTTTTCGAATTAGCTTAGTCCACTTTGCAGTCGCTTTGAAAGTAGCAGCATTATCGGAAATCATCAAGCGAGGTCTTCCTCTACGTGCAATAAATGCGTTAAGTTTTCGCTGAAATTCACCAGCTTCTTGAGTTTTAGTTAGTTCCAAATGAACGGCTCTGCATGCAGCGCAAGTAAAGATTAGAACGTAACACTTTCCTTCTTCCTTTTTGTTGACCTTGTACCTTAACGGTCCGGCAAAATCCACGCCAGTGATCTCAAATGGCTTGCTGGTCTCAGTTCTAAATTTAGGCATGTTACTTGTCGCTGTCGCTCCGTATGGTTTCGTGGAGTACAGTTTGCAAACGTTGCAATTTTTTATCACCTTCTTTACCTTCGATCTTAGTTGAGGGATCCACCAGTTTTCTCGCAAGGCGGCCATTGTATTTGCAACGCCTAGGTGCATAATTTGATTGTGTGTATGTGTGATAAGCTTCTCTGCAAACAATCCTCTTTCGATAAATGTTGGAGTATATCCCCGAACTCTTCCCCTGCATTTGAGAATGTTTGTGTTCTTATCTTCGAAGATTTTCCAGCCAGGTGCTTGTAGAGTTGGGTTAATATTTTTCTGAATCCTTATCACCCATGTATTCTTTGCTTTCACGATTTCTTCGTTTCCGATGGGCCCAGATTTTCTTTTCTCTTTACGCCGTTTCGCCAAACAATTGTGCAGGAATCTCAGTGCCCACGCTGTAACTCTTAATGTGCGCCAATACGAACTTCTTTCCAGCAGCGCATCCCATTCATCAGGCTCTCGTTCTTTGGTAAAAAAGACCTCCACCATGCTGGGTTTGCTCTCTTCGCTCACGTGTGTAGTAACTTTAAGCTGGGGTTGTTTCGGCCACTGTTCTACATGTAACAACCACTCAGGACCAGTGAACCATCCGTCTTTTACCATTTTCTCAATTGTAGCTCCCCTGCTGCCTAGATCCGCCAAATTCTCACTTGATGGACAATACTTCCACACCAAACCAATCTCGTTGGTAATTTCTGCTATCTTCTTAACTCTATTAGCGACGAAAGTCTTCCAAGGCTTTCCAGGGTTACTTAACCAGTAAAGCGCGACCATACTGTCCATCCAGATGATGATAGACTTAACAGGCAATCGCAGTAGCGCATGGTATAAATTCCTTGCCATGTTCGCCGCCATTTGACCACTCACAAGTTCCAACCTCGGTATTGTGGTGTTCTTTTTGGAAATTCGAGATTTGGACGTTAACAGACCTTTCACAGTTCCTGATTTGTGCTCTACCACTGCGACTGTTGCTGCACAGCAAGCAAGGTTACTAGCATCTGCAAACAAATGGAGTTGAATGCCTTCAATCACGTCCGATTTCTTAGTTATAGCTCTAGGAACTTTAACATTCTTCATTTGATTGTTCCATTTGATCCACTTTCTTTTCAAGGATTCTGACACTTCAGCGTTCCAACCTTTTCTTTCTTCACAGGCATCTCGAAATATGTTCTTACCCTCAGCCATGGTAGGCGATACCATTCCCAAAGGATCGTAGACTCTTCCTAACCGACTCAAAATGCTCCTCTTTGTTATTGGTTGGTTCTCAGGCATGGTTGCTGCTTCGAATTCTAATGTATCTTCTTGTTTATCCCAGACGTGTCCGAGTATTTTACTTGGGTTTGGCATGTTTTCGTCTTCGAGGCACGCGATGTTTGATTCCCACTTGTGGATTGGGAATTTGGCATCCTCAAGAATGATGGAGCTTTCTTCTTTAAATTTCCTCAAGTCGTCAGTATCACTTCCAGTTTTCATGATGTTATCAACATATGTATTCTCTTTAAGAGCTGTCACAGTTTCCTCAAATCTTGTCGGCTGTTGCTCAAGGTGGTATCCCAACGTTGCTCCAAGCAGAAAGGGACTGGCTTCGACTCCGAATGGTAATCTTGCAAACCGGAA